TACGCCCACGGCATCGGCATCCACTGGTACCTGGACTTCATTGGTCCCATACAGGACACGGTGGTGCCCACTCACGAGCTCTTCCCCGACTACTTCATCCTGGCCACCGAGGCGTGCATCGGGGCCCACTTCTGGGAGAGGGACGTGATTTTGGGCTGCTGGGACCGGGGGAACCAGTACAGCCACAGCATCCTGACGGTGAGGCCCCTGCGCCACCCTGCGTGGGCAGACCCCGGAGAGGGCTGCTGGTGCGCTCCCTCTCCCGTCAGCACCCAACTCCTCGAGCAGACGCCTGGGCTGTCCCGTTGCAGAACCTGAACCACTTTGTGGCCGGCTGGACCGACTGGAACCTGGCCCTGGACCTGGAAGGGGGCCCCAACTGGGTCAAGAACTACGTGGACAGCCCCGTCATCGTGGACACCAGCGAAGGCATCTTCTACAAGCAACCCATGTTCTACCACATGGGGCATTTCAGGTGGGTCAGGGCCCCCCGACATGCTCTCAGCTGCCTGGGCTCCCGCTCCATGGTTGTGGAAGCAGCTTGGCAGGAGGGGAGTGGGGCAGGTTTGTGGGGAGGAGAGCTCTGCTGGGCTCTGATTCCCTTCCTGGGGTTGCTTCTTGCTTGTGTCCACGCAGTAAATTCATCCCCGAGGGCTCCCAGCGCGTGGGGCTCGTCGCCTCCAAAGAGTCCAAGAAGACGGACTTGGAGTACACGGCTTTCCTGCGCCCCGACGGTGCCGTGGTGGTGGTGGTTCTGAACCGGTGAGTGACGCGGCTCAGCCCTCAAAGCGGTGGGACCCCGTCCTGCCGGGCCCCGCCTCTGCTTCGTCCTGACGGGCCTTACGCGCCGCTGATGCTCAGGAACTGCTGCGGATCTGACCCCGCTGCTCCTCACCCTCCAGGTCCATGCAGAACGTCACCTTCGGGTTGGCCGATACGGTTGGCCTCATCGCCGCCCTGGCTCCGGCCAACTCCCTCCAGACATACCTGTGGCGGCGGCAGTGATGGGGCGGGGATGCCCGTGGCTGGTCAGGGGCCGGACCGAGCCGGGCTGGGAGAGCCC